ACGAACAGGGAGGGATTCTCCTCCTATGTAGACGTTAAAGGGAAGGTCATGTCTACGGAAGGTAATTTTGGCTATGTTAGTGGGTTTCTTTCGATGACCTCTGGGGGGGATGGAATAGCATTGTACTGATGTTGCATCGTAGTCTGTGAGACAGGCAAGTAGATCTTCTCCACAATCTGACCATTCTTTGTCATAGATTGGGCAATTTGTTGGTGAGATTGAGACTGTTCCGGTGCAAGTATTGAGGGTTGGATGGGGTTACCATATAGGTTAGGTCAGTTTTGTTAGTGCTATGGCTTGGTTTTCGGATGTTACTGTTACAAGACGGGAGCGGTCGGGTCGGCTACGGAAAGAGACTTTACCTACTTGTTTTTGGAGGCATTGTTGGAAGAGAAGGGTGTTGTTAGAGTAGGGAGCTGTGGGAGGGATCACGAAAAATCGGTCCCATTTGGCTGCACTGAAGAGAGTATTCAAGATTGTTTTAGAGATAGGGGTGGTAGAAGGGCGAGGGCGTGACGAAGATGGAGTTGTGTTGATGGAGGTAGTGTTATGGAGAGGTGGGCTATAAGGCTGTAAGGTATTAATAAGGGAGGATGGGGTGGTTGATGTTGGAGGTTGTGGGGGTAGAGGTGTTGAAGTTGGGCATGCTGGGAGAGTGGAAATGTCCCTTGAGGGTTGATTGTTGGCTACTGTACTAGTAGGCATTGGTGAAGGGGTAGTTATTGCAGTGTTTGGAGCCGTGGTCAAAGGAGAGCCTGGGGTCGGGGAATCGGGTGGGTTTACTTCGTTGGGGCTATTTGATAAAGGGGCAAGCCTCATTGCCCCTAACATTGGGGATATATTTTCATTACTGGCCATGGGAAGCCTGGATTATGTTGGGGATAAAAGCAGTCCACCCCTCAGGGTCCCCTTGAGGGGTAAGGGCTAGATAACTAAATCAGGGGAATACCGTGCCCATGGCTCCCTCAGGCCGTTCAGGACTGGCACAAAGTCAGCCTTTCATCCTTTCAGCACGGCTCTCACACCTTAGGAGGTGGATAGCAGAAGGGTTTGGTGAAGGGACAGAAACAAAAGTGGGAAGGGAAAAAAAGACCATGCATAATTAGTTGAGTCGAGGGCTGAGTCCCAAGGTTGGGGAGTTCCCCATCATTGGGTCCCAGTCTCCGCCTCCTAAGCCCCCCCCCACGACAACAACGGGCAAGGGATTGGGGGGGCTCCGCCTCCTAAGCCCCCCCCACGACAACAACGGGCAAGGGATTGGGAGGGAGGGGGGGGTTGCAGAATTGTAATAAGGAAGGATGGGGTAGTTGATGGAGGAAGTTGTCGGGGTGGAAGAGAAGTAGTGGATGTTGGGAGAGGATGAATGTTTTCTGGAGATTGAGCATTGACCTGGATGGATGTTTTGGACTGAGCTGATGTGATAGTTGGAATTGAGGAGGGGGTAGTAGTCGCAGTGTTCAGAGTATTGGTCAAAGGAAAGCCTAGGATCATGGGAAACGGGAGAATTGAAATCTTATGGGGCTATCTGATAAAGGGGTAAGCCCCTATCAGTGGTACAAAATTGTCCACCCTTCAGGGTTCATGACTTGTACAGTCAGCTTTCATCCTTTCAACATGGTTCTCACACCTTAGGAAGTGGATAGTTGAAGGGGTTAGAGAAGGAAACGAAAAGGGGAAGGGAAAAGACCGAGGCCCCAGCATTAAGGCCCAATCTCCGTTTCCGAGGCAACAACCGGCATGGGGTTGGAGGAGATGCTCTCAAAAAAGGATTTAAGAAAAACAACTCTAAAATCTACAAGATGAACAATGGGTCTTATGAAGAACTTTATTCAAGATGAGATGAAGGATGAATGGATTGGTTGTCAAATTCTCTCTTTGGTAAGAATTTTTTTGTGGTTCATATTTTTTTAAGCTTATTTTTTTTTTTTTACATATACATGCTTTTGAACCACATTATTGCTTTTTCTTGGACCTCATAATACATGCTTTAAAAATATATTTTTTGCATGCTTTGCTTTTATAGGTCTTATCTGGTCCATCTATTTTTTCAAATATATGTCAACGATACAAACAATTAATGTATATACAATGGTGTATACAATAATAATAGTATATATCAAATGGACATATTTGTGAAACAATAGCATACCTTACTAACAGGAATCCCTTCTACAAACTGACTATAATATTCTTGTAAAGTAACTCTAAAAAAATCACATTCCTTGTTATATATGAACAAAACACTGGCTTCATGACTCGAGTGAATGAGCAACACAAGTGGATATATCTTTTTTTTTTTTTTTTTTTTTTTCTTAGTTCTGTGAATTTTTTAACATTCTTTTTTTGTCTTACCTTTGCCAGCAAAGCATGGAACTAGTCTGCTGAAGTTAACATCTACAGAATACTATTATAAGTCAAAAATGTGCAAAAAACAGAAGTGCAAAAAACAATTTCATGCTCTACATTACTGATCCAGCCAAGTTGGTAGTTCCATCCTTTA